GACCAACCCTTTCAAAGGTGAAGAAATCCAGTATATTTCAGTACCGCTCTCTCAGTGAACAATCTTGGTGCATTCCTTACCAGACGGCTTTGCGAAATAGGGTGGATGGTAATTTGGGTTAATAAAAAACTCACCTTGACTGAAAGGTCATTTGCCCTATTCTCCCTTAGTGACATAAAATGGAATGGCTGGGGATGGGTTGGGAGCATAGGCTGGGCAAGGGACAATTTCCCATCATTCCGAGTTGCAATGAAAGCAAAAAAGAGAAGAAAGTGTAATACTTTCTTAACACTGATGAAGGAGCTAAAATAAAAAAGAGTGCATATACAATAATTTCAACTATATTGATATCATCAGCTGCGGCAAGTGCTGTCTTGTGTGACACTGGTGGTGGTGAGCGACAACCTAGCCTTCCTCGTCACCTTAGTGGACGAATCTTTCAATGGCAACCTCCTTGTGTGGCCTACAAGACTTCTTGCCGTCACTCGCCTACCTATTGCAAAGCTGCATGATCTCCAAAGGACCTTTTCGATGTCGAACTCCATGTTACTAGTATTGCAGGGAACCTCAGAATCCCCAAGGTAAGTTCTCTTGCAAGCAAGATAAAAAGAAACAGATAATTCACGTTATTGTAAATTTATACATCATAATGTTCAATAAGAGTGGTAATTTTAATGCCATGCATGCATTTCGCTAGGCTGAAACTACTTTTTTTTCTCTACTTCAGGTGCAACATATACATACACCTGCCCTTCACTCCTCGGGATACCAAAGCGTTGTGGGTTGCCTCTTGGACACCAAACCAAGGCTTTGCTCTCACCACCCATCTCCCACTTTTCCCCGAAAAATTTAACACGTACATATATTTATATATATATATATATATATATATATATATATATATATATATATATATATATATATATATATAAACAACACCTCAACCCGCCAGGATTCAAACCCACGGCCCACGAGCCCATGACTGTGACCGGGGAACGCTAACCGCTGGACCACCAGGAAACTAAAAAGCAGTCCTAGACATTGTTATATGTAGAAGTCCGCGTGCTTTATTGGGCTAATGAATTATAGATGGATCCTCGTGTTTCGAAGCTGGATTTGGTAAAACGTTACTCTGACCACCTACGTGATACAGGTAGTCCCCATTAGAGGGTCACGGCGCCTTAAGCTCGTTGAACAGGCTTTGTATAAAATATAACAAAGTCTAAGGCTGCTTTTAGTATCCTGGTGGTGCAGCGGTTAGAGTTCCCCGGTCACAGTCATGGGCTCGTGGGCCGTGGGTTCGATCCTGGCGAGTTGAGGTGTTGATTGTATGTAGAAGTCCGCGTACTTTATTGGCCTAATGAAATATATATATATATATATATATATATATATATATATATATATATATATATATATATATATATATATATATATATATATATATATATTGTGTGTGTGTGTATGTGTCATAATATGATAGTCTGCACACAACTGCAGGAAAGGATAAATAATTATACACTAAATCCTGGATGAAAATAAGCATACCCTCGAGGCCGACAGTGTGAGGGTGGTCCCATACACTGTGTCCTGTTGTAGGTTAACGTCACCTCACAACACCTCAAGATGTGAATAACTCAAGGCTTAGGACACCTTTTCTATCCCTCTCCCTAAGTGGGGTGAGCAGAATATATATATATATATATATATACAGTATATTAGGGTGGTCCTTATTTTTCAATTTGGAATGTTTTACCACAGACCCTACTTAAAGTGTCCATTTAGGACAAAAACATTGTGTGTAGAGTTATTTTTGAATATATTAATATTTAGAGGTTGCTCAATGCTGTCAAAAATTAAGTAATCGATGTAGTCGATTACTTTGTAGCAGATTACACCCACCACTAGTTCGTCGCATTTTCACGATTGTGGGGAGTTTTTGCTGGTCGTGATTGATGAGTGGGGAAATTAGAAACAGGACTGCAGAGTATTCTCATTATTAACTTATATTAATAGATAATTTCTTTTTCCTCAGGTTAAAATGGCTAATGCAGGAGTAAAAACACGAGAAAATGTGTATTTGATAAAGACATTATGTGATGACATTACAGGGGTTAATTTACTTTCAAACTGGCAAGTGTTACAGTATTTTTTAAGCCTGCATCGCATACAGAAACAAACCATCAGAGTGGCAGCTGGGGAAGTCACGGACAAAGTTCTTCAATTTTGGACAAAAGCAAACATTCCCACACACCACAAACCAGATTGTGTGAATCAAGTGCACAAAATGTTTGACAAGTGGCGTAGTTTGAAAAAGAACTCTTCAAGAAAGACAGAAACTCAAAAGCAGAAAGAGAAAGCGTTCACTGATACATTTGAAGATCTCTTTGACAGTGCACATGTGAATGCTTTGAATATGATGACAGTTCAGGAGGATAAGGATTTCTTAATAGCGCAACGAGAAAAAGGGCGTCGTGGGGCAATGTCATCTCTTGACAAAGTATTCCTGATAAGACAGAAACGACGAGAAAAAACTCTCAAGAAAGCAATGAAAAGGAAGTTGGCTGCAGACAGTGCAGAGGAAGAAGCCAAAAAATGCCAAGCCATCGTTGTCTTGGACAGCAGTAGTACGCCTTCTTCTGAGGAATCCAACCCAGTTCCTGGCCCATCAGCACTTCAAACTCCACCTACTGTCAAGAAGCGTGGGCGAAAAGAAGTTCTAACTCCAGAACTTTCTGCAGCATTAGATCGGACCAAGTCCTCAGATAGAATGGCCATGCACATTGTCACCCAAACTGCTCGGAGTCTGGGCCAGGATGTCAGTGAATTGATTCTGAATCGATCAAGCATCAGGAGGAAACTTCAGCATCATCGCAGTAGCAGGGCAGCTGAAATCCTTTCAAACTTCAAACCAGAGTCATTTTAATTGTTCACTGGGATGGTAAATTGATGCCTGATTTGACGGGGCATGGGGGCCATGTTGACAGACTCCCAGTTCTTGTCTCAGGTAATGGCACCTCCCAACTTCTTGCTGTAACAAAACTTCCCTCTGGTACCGGTGATGAACAAGCAAAAGCTGTTGTGAAGGCTTTGCAGCAATGGCACATTGCAGACATCGTGCATGGCATGTGTTTTGATACAACAAGCCACCATGTACTAGAACTTGTAGCTGGAGCTACTTTTGAAGCTGTAATGGGGCACACAGCTGCTCCTGACAAACAGCTGTTCAGAAGATTCCAAGCCAAATGAGAACAAATTGACAAGCAGAAGTTTGAAGACTCCTCCACCGACGATCTGGCAGAAGAATCGGTCATGGCTGTTTGGGACGATCTAACCAACTTCATTGAGAAGGCTCTATTGGAGACACAGCTTCGAGATGATTATCGAGAGCTGCTAGAGCTGGCCTCCATCTTCCTTGGCACATCACCTTTTCGGGGAGTACGATTTTCTGCTCCTGGTGCAATGCACCAAGCACGATGGATGGCAAAGACCATTTATTCTTTCAAAGTGTGGTTATTCCGTTCTCAGTTTAAGCTTACTCCAAAGGAGAACAGAGGACTAAGAGATTTGTGCATTTTCTTTGCCCGAATATATGTGAAGGCTTGGACAACTGCTCCACTTGCTGCAAAGGCACCAAAAGGAGATCTGATGTTGCTTAAAGCTCTACAAGACTACAGTACCATCAGCGATGCCATATCAAAGGCAACTTTCCACAAAATGATGAGACACCTCTGGTACTTGTCAGAAGAGTTGGTTGCATTGGCCTTCTTTGATGACGATGTTCTCCCAGCAGTGAAGGACCGCATGTTGGAAGCTATGAACATCGTTATTGGAGAAGAAAAGCATGTCAAACGGGTTACAATCAATCCAGACACACTCCAAGTGAAGAACCTATATGATTTCACGACAAAGAACACAAAGTCATTTTTCAAAAAGCTCAACTTGAATACAGATTTCCTGGCCCTCCCAGTAGAACAGTGGAAAGATGATCCTGGCTTCCAAAATGCAAAAGCCAGTGTACAAGCTTTGTCTGTGATCAATGATCATGCAGAAAGAGGAGTAGCCTTAGTCCAAGATTTCTCAGGCCGCATCACCAAGGACGAACAGCAACTGCAGTATCTACTGCAGGCAGTTGCTGACCACAGGAAATTATTCCCTAATGCCCTCAATCAGACCTTACTGGGCGACAAAGAGCGAGACTGGTCCTCATGCGACCCCTGCCTTGAGCAGCTAATACCCACTTACACTAAGTGGGGGGGGCCCAGGCTTGTGGGCTAGGAAATGATGTGTTATGAACATTAAGCATAGGCATAATATTGTTAAATTTCATTTGACTTGCGCAACCTTTAATTATTAAGATATTTAAAAAATATTTTACAGGCAATGTTTCTACCCCCAAATAAAAACTTTTGCCAGGGTCTGTGACAAAAAAATGGCAATTTTGTTTTTTGCCCGAAATAAGGACCACCCTAATATATATATATATATATATATATATATATATATATATATATATATATATATATATATATATATATATATATATATATATATATATATATATATATATATATATATATATTTATATATATATACGTATATATATATAAACCATCTCATAACGATATCAATAGTCATTCCGATGAAAATTTAAACTTCAATATATACAGCAACAATCGTATAAACAAACATAAACTGAAAGAAATGATAATAGCATCAGTTTTCAATATAATTAACGTATCTTAAGTAAGGTTAAGAAAGGAAATGGTCTTGAAAATAATATTATAGTAATCGTAGCTCATGGATTCAAAAAATATTAATTTTCACAGGGTTAAAAGAGGATAGGCTGTTTGATAAATATGTATGTTGAATCACTCTATTTCTTCACGAAAACGATGCTTAGTAGCAAATTATCGGCTCCTTCCTGTCCACACATTACAGCAAGAACTTATCATTAAGAAATATATTAGATTTATAATTCAAACCTGTCTAGCAGGTTCATGAAGCGTCCTACGCTACTGGTGGCAGGAGAAGAGTTCCCTAACCAGAGAGCGGTGATGGTGGATGACCCGAAGGCTCCTGGGGGCCAGCGTCTAACTTTCACTGGACCAATGGCAAACGTTCTTGCTTACGTGGCAAAAGGAACTAACTTCTCGTAAGTTCCATTATTGAAACAATTCTGATCTTTTAAAATGTTAGCTTTTGCATAATGTAGTTTTATTGACACGTAATTTGTCTTAGTATGCCTTATTGTAGGTAAAAATATGTATGTATTAAATGCGTCCTGAGAAAGCGTAAATTTGTTACCAGAGTTTAACAGTTAATTCATGTATAAGATTTCTGGTAAACTTCCAACGTGCTCCTGTTTGAAATAATGAATGTATGTATCTTTATATAATTTAGCTAAATATCTTTCTCGTCGGAAACGGTCATCTCAACGATTATGAATAAACTCTTTTAGAAATGCATCATTACTTCAGGACGAAATCGAACAGATTTGAAACTGCCAATCAGCTGTAACTCCTGAGGAGGGGACGTGGTATCTTTTCTCAGCTGAGAAAAAACGCACTAAAGCCAAAGAATCAAACCTAGGATCTTCAAGTGGGAGCTGGGAATGATAACCAATATATCACAAGGACTATAAAAACAGTAAGCTAGGCTTTGTTACACAAGTCCTACTCTTTTGTCTTTTATATCTTCAAGGCGAGTGAGGTAGTTTTAGCGAACCTCAGGATATATTTAGGTTCGCGTGCATGGACGTGCGATATATTATTGATAGCCTCGCGTTATCTGCCTGAATTCTAGAAAAAATTACTTAAGAAAAAAATAAGTAAAATACAACTTTCTTACCCTCAGAAAATCTCCCTCAATGGCTGAACAATGAGACACCACGGAACACATCCCTGACCTGCCGCCTGGTAGTGGTGAGAGCAAAAAGCTTGTTATCGAACTTCACCAACATGTGCAGGTGACAAAGGGGGTCGCTCAGGTTCTTGGCAGCTATAACGATGATAAGTCCGCATTCTATGATGACGAGCGGGTTTTCTCTCATCATAATCTGATCATCTCCAACCATCGGAATTCCGTAGTAGATACAACCTTTGATGACCGGTTCATGGTGGCCTGGCACTTGATCTCTTTGATTTGCAGTTTTTGTACCATTATTTCGGGGATCTTTTTTCGCCCTGAATACCAATCTACTACCACCACAACGTCTAGCAGAAGCCATTTTATTTTTTTACATGGCGACCATTTCATACAGGGGAACACTTCTTGCATCTACTACATTACGTGATCATAGTTAGTTATAGCTGATTTCCAGGTTTCCTTTATTTGGGACTCTTTAATCCTCTCGGGAAATATTTCGTCTTTGATGATGGTGTATGTAATATGCCACAACATTTGTCCAATCTGAAAGTATGTATGCCTCTAACTGTGACAATTTCCTTCGTCAGACTATTCCAAACTTTCACAGCCCTCAGCGCAAATGATTTCCTTGTTCTTGTAGAATTAGCCTCTTTCAAATATATACACTGTAACAATTATATAAATTCGAGGTAAATACATGAATTCATTACATAATCTACATCAGCCAAATTAATTAGATACTGGGTAATGAAATAATGGTAGTCACGTCCTTCTCACGGGCCAAATGAGATTCATATGTCCTTCCCGCACCTTTAGATTGCAAGGGTGGCCAGCTTCCATAGGAGTAAAGGACTACATCTGGGACAACACGGACTTACCATTCAAAAGAACTTTGACAATAGTTTCCTATATTCTCCCGCAGTTTGAGTTGCCCAGTGTCGGTTAATTCGTCATTACACTAACATACTGTGCTCTTCTATTTTTATAATATATTGATTAAAACGAATTAGTGTTTGTGTGAAAATCAAATAATCAGAACTAAGAACAAAACATATATTATATGTGACTTCATTAAATTTCAAGCTGTTAACGACAAAGCAAGCTACAAGAGTTACAAGGGTAGCAGCGGTGTAGATAACATACACGTTACAAGTTACAGGTGTATATAGAGTAGTGTTCCAGGTAATAAAGTCGCCAAAAATATATTACAGAAATTACATATACTCGACATATTTGGGGATTTTTTTTTAGGTATGAAAGAAGTTGTCGTCTAATATAAATTATTTGTTTAAAGTTGCTGGTTAAATTGCCCAACCTTTATAGAGTAATACCTATTGTTTTGATAGCTCTTCGAATTTATTTTGGGCAATAAATTTTATATAGTATTTATGTATTCCTAAACTCATTTGGTCCTATGAATTTCTGTCGATATTTAAAATATTCGAATGGGCCCTCATTTTGTTCACTACCATATCGATTTTACTAGTCCAGAGCATCACTGACAATAAAACTTGGTCACAATAAAAAAAATAATAAAGTTATTCTCTGTTCTCCCCAGGTACACCTATGAGAGGCCTCATGACAGGGCCTGGGGAAGCATAAAGGCCGACGGGTCCTGGTCCGGGATGGTGGGTTTAGTGATAACTGAGGTAAGTATAGTGACTAGGCCGCAGTGTTTCTCAACCTGGGGGCCATGGCCCCCAAGGGAGCCACGGCAAGAATTTAGGGGAGCCACGGCGAGCTGTTATAAAATGTACGTTTCCAAATAATGTTGGGAATCTGAATTAAACAAAACTTGTATTACTTATTTTGACTTGGCAGAAGAGAATTGTCATTCTTTTTTTTGTCATTTTGTTTAATCATAACGACAATACAATTTTAATATTTACATACTCTGGTGCTATTTTTTTTTTTTACGGATTATTTAAGATCTCACAGGTCCAGTCCCTGTCTGTGTGACAGGCGCTGGACGAGTTGCTGAACTGACTTGATCAGTAAGTGTCCGTGTGTCATCCCTTTGCAAGTGGTGATAGGACCGAATGATCTCAGTCGGGCCTGGGATACCATCACGGAAACAGTGGAGTGTATTGTATCTGAACCATATATTGTGTTTGAGCTTGACTCAAGCATAATATACTCCGTAATTGGTGTTACTTATTTTGTTTCATAATTCATGTGGTCGCTGCTTTACGTGGGTGAAATATTTGTACACTTCCTTTATTAATTATTTCCTTATTTATTGGTGCCATTGTTGTTTATACTCATTCTTTACTTATATAATCCAACCATTTTTAGTGCGGAATTGGAATGACTCACTATTCTTCTCATTCTTCCAAGTTGGGCAGTGCTTGTCAAAGGAGGCGTGTTCTTGCTTACAGGAAGTACACTTCAGCTTGCTAGCTTGAGTGTGAATGTTTACCTGTGTGCATGTTTGTGTATGACTGTATGTGTGCTTTATGTGTGAGTGCATGGGCGTGTTATGAATGTGAATGTGTGTTTGCCATTCTAACTCTTGTCCTATTTATCTGTCCTTCTTTATCATTCTTTAGTCTTTATCACTTGTCTGTTTGTCTGTTCTGGGAGAAAAATGAAGGAGGCCACGAGGATGTTGAAAATTCCTCAAGGGAATGAAAAAGGTTGAGAGCCACTGGTCTAGGGTTTCCTTCCCGGGATCCCGGGAGTAAGTGGTTGTTTTTTTCCCAGGAATTTGTTTCAAATCCCGGGATTCTTATTGTCATTCCTTATTTCTAATTTGCACTATGTAAAATGCAAAAACGCATGAAAGAGAGAGAGAGAAAGAAGGGGATGGGGGGAGCTATTCCAGGCCCTCATCTCAGTGCCACCAACTTCAGTTGAAGCCGAAAGGACATTTTCAGCTGCTGGCCTATTTATTACAAAACCAAGAACAAGGCTCACTGACAGAGGTATTGACTGTTTGTGCTTCTTGGGGAGTTATTTCATGAACAACTATTAGGGTGTGCATGGCTTTGTGTGTGCAAATGATTCTATTCCTTTTTTTCGCAGGTCATTCAAGTGTTCTCTAAGTTTTTTTGTAAAGTAGGGTTTCCAAATGGCATAGAATAATTATTTTTTTTATAATGGCTAACTATGAATGTCATTCCAAATATCATTGAGTTTCTTTTGTGGCTAACAGAATGAGATTGACTCTTTGTGCTTCTTGAAGAGCTATTTCATGAACAACTTTTGATGTGTGCGTGACTGTGTGGCTTGTGTGCACAAATGATTTAATGCTATTATTTTTTTTCACAGGTCATTCAAGTGTTCACTTTGGGTTTATGTAGAATGTGGCTTCCAAATGGCATTAATATAGAATTCTTATTCTTTATAATAGCTAACTTTGAATGCCATTTCAAATGTCTGTGAGTTTCTTTTATGGCTAACGGAATGAGATTAATTAAAATTTTGTTTGTTTAATCATATGTACCTATTTCTACACCAGTATGCAAGTTAATAAAGAGAACTTTGCTTCAGTGTAATATAATTTATCAAATCAATTGCCAATCAAATAATCTACAGATACCACACTAATGAAGTATGCAGGGTTAGCATATAGCATTAGTTAGCACTAATATCACCTGATGAGAGAAATCCTGAGATCCCGGGAAATATCCTGGTTTGTCCCAGAATCCCGGGACGCTAAGAAACCCCCAAAACAGGAAACCCTAATAGTGACGTGTCTAGTTATGTAATGATGCAAAAGCAGCGAGATCTTCCATGCTCAAGGTTAACGGAATTTCAGAAGTCTTAGCTTTTTGTGGTGTGGTCGGTATAAACTAATTGTGTCTAATTTAGTTAATATGTGGTTTTATATAGCCAAAGTATATCTGTGAAAGTAATGGGTAAGAGCAATGGGTAAAAGGGTAACTGATATCATTATTGTGATCCGAACAACTAAAAAAAAGAAGAGTTTTAAGGAGAAATATAAGGAATGAATGAAAAGAAACAAAGTTGTGATAAACATGGTTGGGAAAAAGACATTTTCCCTGGGAACATCGACAATAAATTTTGGCAAAGGCTGGGTATCGTACAGTATGTTTTTTTTTCTTTTTTACGGGCATTAGCCCACCCGGGTACAGGTCATTTTTAATACACCACATGGAGGCTTGTGGGGCGAAAATATAATAAAACAATAATAATAATTATGATGATGATGATGATAATAATAATAATTATGATGATGATAATAATGATAATAATAATAATAATAATGAGCCATAAATAAAATAAAATATCAATAATGAGAAACGATATACATCATGTATGTTGTGTTGTCAATAGTAAGAGAAACAATTGAGACCCTGCAATTGTGTGTAAATGAGGCAGAAAATCAGATCAGCAACCTGGTACTTTGTTACAATTTTCGTGATGCCATATGGCAGCAGGGTCTAGCATTAGACAATACATTATGCTTCCAATATCTTCCCAGGCGGTAGTACCTCCCTGTTTGATAGCTTTGTTTTACGCCCTTACATTATTGTTCTGTATCGTAAACAGAAGGTGACCTTCGCTCTTGGCCCGTTTGGTGCTACAACTGGTCGAGCCAAGGTTGTGGACTTCTCATGGCCAATCACGATAGACGATTGGAGAATTATGGGGGGTCGAGGGCGGCCGGAGGTGGATCCGTGGGGATTCCTGCTGCCCCTAGCGCCTCTAGTGTGGGCAACCATCTTAACAACATTATTGCTGTTGTCAGCAATTGTTTGTGTCTCCTACTTCTGCATATCTCACAAGACATTAACCCCGAACAACTGGTCAGAGGGCACCTTCGGTTATATTAGAGTTCTGCTACAACAAGGTGAGAGAGACGTATACATGAAAATGTTACTCATATGAGTCATTAATTTCCTTAAAATGAGTTAATTATATATATATATATATATATATATATATATATATATATATATATATATATATATATATATATATATATATATATATATATATATATATATATATATATATATATATATATGGAAACAACGGAGCACCTTAGCTTTCGTCTTTATTCAAGACATCTTCAGAGGCAACTGGATTACATGGACAGAGAGAGGCTTAAATATACAGGGTGACCTTATTAAACATGAGGTCAGGTCATAATGACGTCATCCACTAATCCCCACACCAACACACACGTAGGGGAGCTTAAGAGAAGGGGGGTGACGTGACTAGTCAGGTCAGGTAAAAAATAAGGGACCCACTAAATAACTATCCTACATCCAGAACATAGGAACATAAGAATGGAGGTAACTGCAGCGGGCCTATTGGCCCATAATGAGCAGTCCCGTTTACACCCAACCCCTATTGCTCATAGAAGCTTCCAACCTATGTTTGAAGCTATTCAACGTATTCGAGTTAATGATGATATTTGGTAACTTGTTCCATTCATCCACTACTCTGTTTCCAAACCAGTGTTTACCTATTTCACGTCTAAATCTAAATTTGTCTAATTGAAAACCATTGCGACCAGAATCCTGGAGGATAGCGAATGTAATACCGATTTTCAAGAAGGGGGATAGATCACTATCCTCTAACTACCGCCCAATCAGTCTAACATCAATAGTAGGCAAATTACTGGAAGCAATCATTTCAAACTCTATTCGAAATCACCTGGAGAAGCACCGATTGATCAATGATTCCCAGCATGGCTTCACAAGCGGACGTTCTTGCCTAAGTAATCTATTAACATTCTTTTCATCAGTTTTCGAATCGGTGGACGAGGGGCACAATTATGATGTGGTATATCTCGACTTTAGCAAAGCCTTCGACAGAGTCCCCCACGAAAGACTAATTAGAAAGGTAGAAGCTCATGGCATCAAAGGTGACATCCTTAAATGGATTAGGGCGTGGTTACAGGACAGGAAACAGCGAGTGAGCATTAACGGCACTAAGTCCAATTGGAGCAACGTCACAAATGGAGATCCCCAAGGCTCAGTACTTGGACCATTATTATTTATTATATACATAAACGACATAGATATCGGCATTGACAGCAACATGAGTAAATTTGCTGATGACACTAAAATAGGACGTGTTATCAAATCTGACGAGGACTCGGCAAAACTACAGGAAGATCTAAACAAATTTTTCGAATGGTCTGAAAAATGGTAGATGAAATTCAACGTCGACAAATGTAAAGTACTCAGTATAGGAGATGTAAACAGGGAAACCAGATACCAGATGAACAACGATGCCATAGAGAAATCCGACTGCGAGAGAGATTTAGGAGTAATGATAAGTAGGAACCTTAAGCCAAGTAAACAACGTGTTTTTGCTCGTAACAAGGCTAATAAAGTACTTGGGTTCATACAAAGGAGTGTTAGTTACAAGACTAGCGAGGTCATCCTAAAACTGTATCTTGCGCTTGTGAGACCACACCTGGATTACGCAGTTCAGTTCTGGTCACCGTATTACAGAATGGATATAGAATCCTTGGAAAGAATTCAGAGGAGAATGACAAGACTAATCCCGGGTATTAGGAACCTTTGTAATGTCCCCTTTGTTTAGCCCTGACTTCCACTTATACACCTCTATCAGGTCGCCCTTCGCTCTACGTCTCTGGAGGGAGTGCAAATTAAGATGCTTTAACCTGTCTCTATACTCAAGGTTCCTAATGCCCGGGATTAGTCTTGTCATTCTCCTCTGAATTCTTTCTAAGGATTTTATATCCATTCTGTAATACGGTGACCAGAACCTTGGGCCACTGACAAATAAATTTATGTAACATATTATCGGTTTTGAACTGACAATCACTAATGTTTATTGATTTTAATTCCTTAATCAAACTAACTTCAACCAGAAGTCTTTCTGTGACACATGATGATTTGAATACTTCTAAGCTTTTTTCCCAAGCAATGAGATGATTATTATTCCTAACATGAACGAACAGGGCACAGCTTTCAGATGCTGTTCTGATATTGTACTTATGTTGTCTGATTCTGAGCCGCATATATATATATATATATATATATATATATATATATATATATATATATATATATATATATATATATATATATATATATATATATATATATATGTTAACGCTCATAGGAGCGTTATTGGTTTGTTGCTGGAGAAATAAACCCTCAACGTTGACGCGTACCATATAATTCGGTCATAACCTGTTAAAGAACATTTCTCATATAACAAATGCTGTTATCTCAGGACACATCATATGAATAATACAATCAATATACAGTAGGGTGTGTCATACGGAGGCGAATTTTTTTTTTTGAGTTTGAAAAATCGGCCCATGGTATTAATGATGTAGTTCTATGTGCAGAATCAAATGATATCTTCACATTTGAAAAGTTTTCATTTTTTGTTAGGTAAATTTTAACTTGAAATCTTATGAAAATTCAGTATTCCCACCCTTTTACCAACACCACTAAATAGCTTATTTAAAGTAAAGTAAATGTATTAGGTTAATTTATTAGGATGAAAATGATCCAGAATAGTGAAACGAATGATCTTGACACATTTATTAAATTTAATATTCCTTCAGAAAACAAAATCATCAAATACAAAAACCGGTTTTACTACTACGACCCGGTGTTGCTGCACACCATAGAGAACATGTCTTTCTTGCTTCTGTTTCTACTCATCACCTCCCTGCTGACCACCTGAGCTCGGATGTAGCCTTCCCTCCTCTCCTGGCTGCACACGTGACTGCTGGCCTCGCTCACTTGCTGTACACAACGCTCTATACTCTGGGTGCGAGGCCAGGCAGGGACATGCATGGGGTTGTCCAGGAAAGCTCTGACTTGAACATTGGTGAGGCTGCAGGTAAGAGGGGGCTCACTGCCAGCCTGGATGTTATCCAGATCTATGAGATCAGTGAGGAATCGTCACCAACTGATTCTTCATGCCCAGATCCTCTCATAAGTCTCATATCCAAGATCTTTTTCACTGCCACTCTTCTCTCCTCCTCATCCTTACTGCAGAGCATTGTCTGCAGAACTACCTCGGGATGAGCATACTAGGAAGATCTCCTCACAGTCTGCTCTACAATCTGAACAACCTTCCTTGGCTGACTCCTCAGGAGCTCAAGCTGGAAGAGAACATGCCTCGGACCTTCGGAGAACGATGACTTGACCTTGGTGTTGAACCAATTTGGCAAGTAGACACTCACGATGAATTGGACAATAAGTCTCAGGTTGTGAAGCTGGTTCCCTTTCGGTTTATGATGAGCGACCCAAATTCTGCAGAACCTGAGAGCCGTTGTGAGCCACCTAGAATGTGAGACTGGACCTATCTGCAGGTAAGCAAGTCTATCAGGCATGACCCCAGTTTTGATGGCACTGCAAATCATGTAACCATAGTACTGGTCAGTATTCAGGTCGTCAATGACAGTATGTGCAAGCTCAACGAGTGGAGGGCCAACTGTGATTTTTTCAAAGCTCGGATTTATTTCTAACTCAGTGGCAGAGTCCAGCATCTTGCCAAGAGGACCAGACCATCTGTTGTTTGAAAGAGTCTTGCCATCCAGCTCCTGGATCAGATGTCTGAGTGGCAACTCGTTGGTGTGGAGGTCACAAACAATCCAGACCAGCTTCCTCCCAATCTTCCGCTCTATCCACTGTATGACCCCCCTTGCCACCCTGTGTTCGTGTTGGTGCTGTCCCCTCCAATGGCCTGCAGGGTCTGGTCTACGTTCCTCTCTGAGCCAGTTCACAATGTTATCTGCCACTATCTCAGCTGGTTTCCTGATGTCATCTTTCTCTGGAGTGAAATGCCACAAATACTTCCCTCCCTGGTTCACTGCAGCAGGAGTAGTGTTCCTCCTTCACCATGGCAGGTAACAACTTGTCAGAATCTCCAACTTTCATGAACAATTTAGTGTCATCCCTTCTCCCATCAAAGAACAAACAATTGATTCCATTTTCTCTTATCCCCTTATCAAACTCCTCTTCTAGGTTACTGACAAGTTTCTTCTGAGCTCTCCTTACTTTGTTATGATCTATCACCAGGTGAACATCATCAGGTGTTATCAAACCACCGTCAACCCAGGCAGCTGTTGCTATCTCTGCAGTTTCTCTGAGACCAGTGTGGTGTCGCATGCTGGCCAGAGCTATGCTCGGGATATCTTTCCTATTTCGAATCTTATGCCTGGAAGGTTTGGGATCATTATTTTCTGGGTTAGGGACAAAGTCACCATTCTCCTGGTCAGCACTCGGATCAGCCATGGGGAAGTCATTAAACTCTGAATCACCTTGACTCCAATCATCGGCCTTTTTTACCTCACCCTGGGCCTTCTCAAGTCTTTTTTCCTCGGCAACTCTTCTCGTCTTCTGTCTCTCTGTGGCAGCCTCCTGTCTCTTGGACTCCGGAATATCTTGGCTAGAAATCGTGAGAGCCCCTATACTGCCAGTCTTCTCTCTCTGTGCTTTGACAAATGCCAGTTCGATCAGAGGAATCTTCAGTTCACGCTTGCAAATACAGGAGATGTGGGTCTCGGATTTACAGTCACGATCGCATCCAAGCTCAGGACAGAGAACAATTGGGCACTTGCAAGTAATTATGTCAAATAACTGGTCCAGTTGCTTGGCAAAGCTGTCCTTAAATGCAAGTTTTCCTCTCCCAAGAGAGATATCTCTTGCCTTTTCCCAACTGGCTAGCAGTCTCTCACTAATCTTCTTCTCACTTGTTATGACTGGAGGCTTGAACTGAGCGTTAGCCAGAGTGTACTGTGCCAAGACAGCTTTGGTCATATCACTGGCAATGTCTTTGTTTGTGTAAGTTCTTTGGTTCTTTTCACTGATTTGCCTGATTAAACCACCGTATCTCAAAGCATCTCTCAATGTAGGCAACTCCGACTTCAGGAGCTCTCTCCC